TGAAATGGTCTACTTCAGGAGATAGTGGGATCCCCCCCTTGCTAAAGCTTATAAAAAGTGGGGTTATAATCTAGAAGGGATTCTTGTTCATGTATAGATAGGACTAAGTTGGCTCTGAGGTTCTGTGGCTAATATTCCTAGAAGCTTCCACTTAATTACTTGAGGGCATCATTTCTTGTCCTGTAAAAGTAGCCAAAGTAACCAGGACTGACTGACTGACTGACTGACTGAGATCAGGCAATGTCTTCCCAGCAGCCAGGCATACTCTGGTCTTGCCATGTTAATAGGCCAGCCTTGTAAGGTCTGGAGCTCTGGAGGGGTTGGATTTTTAGAGTAAGAAGCAATAGGGGATGGAGGGGTGGTTAGGGAGGGGGAAGATCTTCCAGTTTGAATTGGTTAGCCAGCCACCGCTAGTCATTCCTTCCACTCAACAGTATACTGAGAAATGTTTAATAACTGGCTCTCCTATGCCCCCAACGATTTTAAGTTTAATCTGAAGATTGACATTTTCTCAATCATTTTCTTAAGTCTAGAACAATCAACGAAACTATCACTCAAGCCCTGATTTGTAGGATTTACTGATTTCTGAGGTATAATGACTCACACTGAAAATTTAACAATCAGATCTCGAGTTGATTTAAACTGGTTCTAACACATCCCTGTGACTTCTGCCAAGGGTAGACTCTTTCATGGCAGTCCAACCCTAATCCATAGGGAGGACAGAGAGGAGAGACAGACTGGGTATTTGCATCCAGAGAGGTACATTCAACATAACCCTTCCCATCTCCAGAATGACCTTGCTCTAGATGTTATCTCTTCTCTCTTAAGTATTAAGCATCCTCCCTCCATCTCTCTCTCTCTCTCTCTCTCTCTCTCTCTCTCTCTCTCTCTCTCTGTCTCTCTCTCTCTCTCCCCTTCCCTTTTCTCTCTCTGCTTACTTCTTTCCATATGCCAATAGGCCAACAAATATATTCAGGTCTTCCTACCTTGTGGATTTATCAATTGCCTCCTTGAACCAGGCATTGTGCTAGGCTCTGGGAATACAAAGGAAAAAGTATAAATGATCTATGGCCTCAAAGAGCTTACAGTCTAGTCAAGGGAGACAATGTGTACATATCTAGGTATATACAAACTAGATCCTCAAAAAAGCCTTCTTATACTTGTCTCTTATATTCCACCCAGGTGTCTCTCTCTTTCCATCCTATTGTCTTCCTTCTGGCACATTCCAGGAACCTTCTAGGTATGGGGAATTGGAGGAGAAGGCTCAAATAGCTCTATGCTGTGACAGCCTTAAAGTTAGCCCCTCTCAAATCCATCTCTATAGCCCTGATGGAGAATTCAGCAGAGCTCCAAAGTCCCATATCTCTAACTGCCCACAGGGCATCTCTACCTTGTTGTTCCATGACTACCAGAAACTCAACATAACCCACATTCATTCAACTCATTATCTTCTTTGACAAATTTGCTCTGTCTGCTAGCATCCTTATTTCTATCAAGGTTGCTCTTCCCATAGTGGATTATTCTGGGGAAATGAAATCAGAGAGGGAGATGCATCCCCGAATCTAGGAACAAAGTTAGCAAATGCAAAGTTGGAAAAGTAGAAATTCAAACAAACTAAGATTTGCTCTTTATGGGAGTCCTTCTCAGAAGCAGGCAATGCCACCCTATCATCTGGAGAGAGCTCACTGATAAGATTTGGCTGCCTCCCCAAATATCAACAAGAAGAAGTCATTCTAAAGTACCGCTAATGAAAGATAAACTATAATCCTGGGAAATTTGACATATCATCAAGATATGGTGAAATGAAGACAGGTGTCTGTCTTGATGACAGATGTAAGAAAGGGTGGATCCTTGATTATAAGCACCTTGAGGACATGTCTACTAAACCTTGTCTTTTTCCCAGCACTATGTTCTACATCTATAGGTCAGAAGATCATAGATCAGGGCAGCAGGTGGTACGGTGGATAGAGTACTGGCGCTGAAGTCAAGTGGACCTGAGCTCAAATCTGGCCTTAGATCAAACACTTGACACTTACTAGCTATGTGACCCTGGGCAAGTCACTTAACCCCAATTGCCCCCCAGAAAAATTATAGAAGCAGCTGGGTGTCAAAGTGAATTGGACATTGGATTGAATCAGGAAAACTTGATTTCGATTCTAGCCTCAGATATTTACTAGCTGGGCAACCCTTTGCAGGTCACTTAACCATACTTAACTTCTGTCTGCCTCAGTTTCCTTGACTATAAAATTGGGATTAATAATAGCACCCACCTCATAGAGTTGTTGTAAGGATCAAATGAAGTAATATAGTAGGTGTATAGTAGGTGCTTAATAAATACTTGTCCCTACTCCCTCTTTTTCATCAATTTAGAGCTGGAAGAGAATGTCATAACCCTTCCAATCCAACCTCATTTTACAGATAAAGGAACTGAAACTCAGAGATTTTCAGGCCTGAAATAATTCAATTAGAAAGTAGCAAAGCTGAGATTTGAACCTAGGTCCTGGGTCTAAATCCACTGCTCTTTCCACCAATCACATCACATCTCAAAAAGGTTGTCTGCATGTTTGTTTTATTATACAGTCTACATCAAGTATAGAAAGGGGGAATTGGAGAGAAAGAATGGGATGTCAAAATTTATCTGAAATACTATCTCTTATGGGTGTGAATATAGCAGAGAAGGGAAAATGCCCTAGAATCTACCAAAGCTTCATGAAATAATTCATAACAATAATAATAAAAATGAGCATTTAGGTAGCACTTTACAAATATTATCTCTTTTCATCCTCATTACCACCTTGGCAGGTAGGTACCACTATTATCCCCATTTTACAGATGAATAAATTGAGGCAGAGGTTAAGTGACTTGCCCAGGATCACACAGCCAGTAAGTACCTAAAGCTGGATTTGAACTCAGATCTTCCTAACTCCAGGTCTAGCACTCTGCCTATGGTCAGATCTGTACTTAGGGAAAATCATTTTGATAGCTGCTTGGACAGACTATGCTAGGGAGACATTTAAAGCAGGTAGACCAATTAGGAGGCTGCTAGCATAAAGACCTGAATTCAAATCCAGCCTCAGACACCCACTAACCTGTTTACCTTAGTTTCCTACCTGTAAAATGAGCTAGAGAAGGAAATGGCAAGCCATTCCCAGTATCTCTCCCAAGAAAAACCACAAAATTGGTGTTATAAAGAGTTGGTCACAAGTCTAAATAACAAAATACCAATTAGAAGGTTGTTGCAATAACCTAGTCAAAAAGTGATAAGCATCTAAGTGGTGTCTAGGAGAAAAGAGCCCGAGAGATTGAAAAAATGGTGGCACCTTCATCAGAAACAGGGAGTTTGGAGAAGGGGTGAGTTTGGGAGGGGGACTATTTTAGACATGTTTAGTAGTATGAGGTGTCTCTGGGATATCATGTTTGAAATGTCCAATAGGTAGTTGGCGATGTGGGGCTAAAGCTTAAGAGAGAGATGGGCTAGGAAATATATATCTGCATAGAGATGATAATTAAACCCATGAGAGCTGATGAAAACAACAGGGGAGTGGTTATAAAGAAAGACAAGAATGTCTTAAAGGCTTGGAACCCCCTCCCCCTCTCACTTCAGGGTGTGATCTGGATAAGAAGCTAGCAAAAGAGACCGAGAAGGGAAGGGCAAGAAGAGAAGAGAAAAAATAGAGTGTGATGGTATAAAATTCAGAGAGGAAAAAAGTGTCCAAATGGAGAGGGTGGTCCAAGGTTTTCAGTGCAGTAGAGGTCAAAGAAGAGTGAGGTCTGAGAAAATCCCATGACATTGAGCAATTAGGAGATTGGTAGTTAAATAATAAGCTCCAAAGCCTGATTACAAAAGTCTGAGGACTGAGGAGAGAGGAGGTAGAGACTATGAGTGTGGAAAGCTTGTTTTAGGGCTTTGGCTGAAGAGAAGAGAACTACAGAGGGTCCCAAGGGTCTCAGTGAAGCTTTAAACTACTAAGGCTATTAAGTCTCTTGGGAGGAGCTCAGTAGCTTGAGGGAATGGCAGGAAGTAGTGAAACTCAAGTCATATTTAAAGAGAGTAGGGAAAGATCTGGCCAAAAATTAGAGTTAAAGATTGGCTGGGGGCAGGGGTGATTGAGAGAGATATCAGATGGAGAAGATGGGAGGCGATGAAGCCAAGGGTTACGTGTACAAGTGTTGGCCTTAGCAAGGACAGTAGTATCTAATTATTAGATACTGGGAGAAAGACAGTACATATGTTAAAAAGCATCCCATGAAAGATGCAAGTGAGAGAACTTTGTTTATCAATAATGTTCAAATTTACTTTGGGACACATTCTAAATTAAGCCTATGTGCCAGCTGCCTACCTTATGTGAAGCTAGGGGAGAGTTTGTTTTGGGGGATGGTGTAGGGAGCAGAACAAGGAGAGAAAGAAGGATTCCATGTAAGTGGTGCTGGTTTTGCTTTCTGAGATTTGAGACACAAGATGCGTTCTTTCTCATTGCAAGAACCTAAAGGTCTCAGCTTCTAGGGGAAATCTCTTTGTAAGGATAAACCATCATGGAGGAAAAAGAGGCAGAGTATGAATGATAGGGTGGAGAGAAAAGAAGTGCTTTTCCATTCCAATCCAACAACTATCTATTTAGCACCTACTATGTGCAAGTCATTGTGATAAATGCCAGAACACAAAGACAAAAATGAAAACAGTAGTCCTGCCCTCGAAGAGCTTACATTTTACTGGTTTCCTTTGCAACTGAAACGGGAAAGTAAAAACAAGAATCAGGCTCTCTCAAGGGTAAGTTTCCTAGCCAGAGGCAAACTATAAGCCAGGGGTGGGAAACCTGCAGCCCCAAGACCACATGTGGCCTTCTAGGTCCTTGGATGCAGCCTTTTGACTGAGTCCAAGTTTTACAGAACAAATCCTTTTATTACGGGGATTTGTTCTGTGAAGTTTGGATTCAGTCAAAGGGGCCGCACTTGAGGACCTAGAGGGCTACATGTGGCCTTGAGGCCATAGGTTCCCCATGCCTGCCATAACCTATAGAGTCCAAAGTATAAAGTTCCCCCAGAATCCCCCAGGCCTAGCCAGATAATAGCCTCATCTGTTAGAAAGAAGTGGAAGCTATACCTAATGAGGGGAGCAAAACATACAGGGATATTGGGGTTCAGGTCCAGAGAGTCTACGGGATGATGAGTTAATCAATTAGCATGCCCTTTCCAACAGTACTATTGGATTGATTTTGGTACCAAGAGCAAGAGGTGGTGGCAGTGGCCCAGTGTTTGGCAAGGTAGATGGTAAGATGGCCTGGCTGGACTGGCTGTGATGTAATCCATGGTCTTATCTGGGGTCAGCTAGGGATAGGGGACAGACTTTGCCCTCATTCAGTGACTGATCAGGATGGGTTGGCCCCGGGGCAAGGAGTTCCAAAGCTGAGCAGATTACTTTCCCCAGGGACTGGAGACATGGTTTCTGGAGGTCTTGTCTAGAAGCAGGCACTGTTCCAGGTGGAAAGAAGAACTCTGGCTGGGAAGGATTTAGGTTACAATCCAAGGGATGAGTTAATAGACAAAGGCTGCTAGCTACAGGAACAAGTTTTTCCAATAACTCTAGGCTATATTGGCTCCCTCAGAATCATTAGGAATGAATACCCCCACCTCATGGGGAAATGACAGCTGTCTTCAAGCACTTAAAAAATTGTCCTACAGAAGAGGGATCAGACTTTTGTTCTGTTTGGCCCCCGAGGAGAGAACCGCAGGAAGAAGCCCCAAAAGGCTAGTTAGGCTTGGTGTCAGGAAAACTTTGCTGACGGCGAGAGCTAGCCCAAAGTGAAATAGGCATCCTCGGGACATCCCAAGGTAGGGGGAATCTTCAGGCAGAGGCAGCTTGGCAAGAATGTTGTCATGAAGACTTGTTCTGAGTGGGAATTGGACCAGACATCTCCTTCCCACCTGGAGATTCTCCATGATTCACTAGGGAGGCCACCAGGAGCCAGGGAGATAACCATGGTGACCTTTTACCTGAGGTTTCTGTGGGCCTCCAGTTCTCTGGGAAGTTAGGCTAGGATTGGGGAGTGAATAGATAAGGCGGGGAGGTATCCCGCTGGTAGAGAATTATGGTCCCACACTGTCGCTGTGCTCCAACAGAGTCTATGAGCCAGAAACGACAGAGGAGGGAAAAGTCAGCAGAGGTTGAGTCATATAATTCTTATGAAAGAAATGGGTGAGGTTTCCTGGGTCTTCTCATCAGGATCCAGGGTCTCCCAGTCTTCAGCCCTGTTGTGAGGTCAGCCAGAGGCTCCTTAGGGATCAGCCTTTTCCAGAGAAGGAGCTGGTTCCATAGGAAGCTGCCTGGAAAGAGGATGGAGTAGAATGGGGAGGGTTAGGGGTGGTCTTGGATGAGAGAAAGAAGTGATCCCCAAAGCTTTGGCCAAGTTTCTGGGCCCCAGATGAAAAGCGAGTGCTGACTTCCCCTGGAGGGGAGTAGTCAGTCACCCTGTAAAAGTTTATTTTTATACATGTCTAATCTATTTCACATCCGCTCAGATATTTTGACACGTATACAGGAAATGTAATTCTCCCCCATATGGCAACATTTGGTTGGTCAGAGCAGGAGGAAACCCAGTAAGGTCACAGAGAAGCAGAGAGGAGATGCTGCATGGAGGAAGAATGCCGGAGACCCTGGAGGGCCAGGACAGACTGCAGGCGATGCAGAGGCCATGCTGCGGAGGCCACCATGCAGAGGCCACAATGAGGAGGACACACTGTGGACAGGAGAGACAGTGGGGGGAATCCATCTTCGGTTTGCCCACACCTGAAACGTCGTGCATTGTTTTAGCTGTCACATCCCTCAGACAAAACAAGGGGGAGAGGGGCAACTGGAGAAGGTCCAGAAGCTCCAGTGATGATGGAGTTTGGGGCAGCTTCCATGTAAGAAAACGGTGGTCAGAAAGGCTTCTGATGGAAGAGAATCTTAGGAATCGTAGATTTAGAGCTCCAGAGGACCTCTGAGGTCATCGAGTCCAGATCTCTCATTGTATATATAAGGAAACTGAAGCCACAGGGATGAATAACTTGCCCAAGGTCATATAGCTAAAAAGTGTCTCAGGCAGGATTCAAACCCAGGTCTTGCTGACTCCAAGTCCAATTGGCCTGAACCGCTCTGCCACAGAACACAGACCTGCTCTTAGCAAGGTGTAGGTACTTAAGAAATGTTTGTTGAGTGACTGACTGACCTGTCCTTCCAAATTTAAGATATCAAGAGGCAGAACTGAAACTTGAGATAAATAAATTGAAGGGAATTTTTTTTTAAGTATTATATGGCATAGTAGAAATGTCATTGGACTGGATAGAAAGAGATCTGGGTTCTAGTCTGCCTCTGCCACTGGTATGGTAGAGAGTCTGCTGGGTCATATCCCAGCTCTGCCACTTCCAACCTGTAAGTGGACCTCAGTTTCCTCATTTGTAATATGAGAGGGGTGTCCTACATCTCGATGGTCCCTTGGAGTTCTAGATATAAAATCCTAGGACACCCTAAGGGGCCTCAGTTTCCTCATCTGTAAGCAGAGTAGTTTGGCTAAGCTGAACTCTCAGCTCTAACCCCCTGGTTTCAGCTAGCACAGGCAGCATGTAGGAGGAGACCTATGGAATTCATTACTTTAAGAGGTAGTACAGATGAGGAATATAAATAGATTTTTTAAAAGTTTAGATAAATTCATGGATAACAGACCCATAAAGGGCTGTGAAGGGAAGCTAGAGGCACAAGAGGATGATCCCTCACCTTTGAAGTTGACATTGGGGAGGACCAGGAAGCCCTTTCCTTGGTGCCTCAGTCAGAGACAGAAAGGGGCTGAGACCTTCTCTTGTACTCGGAATCCAGATTCCTGCTTGGCCTTCTGACCCACTGAATGACCCTGGACAAGTTCCTTCTGCTCCTAATTCCTCCTTTTTTGCCCCATCTGTAGAGTGGGAGCAGTTGTATGAGATGGCAGAATATAGTCAGCCAACTAATATTTATTAATCAACTACTGTGTTTTAGACATTACTCTAAGTACACAAAGTATCTGGAGAGGAGTGCCTTCACAGGGCTTATTCATTCATCCACTCACTCACATAGCATCTGCTGAGCGACATAATGTAGGAAGCTGTTGAAGGCTCTCAAAGCCCTTTTAATCGTCTTTTTTCCAGGCTAAACAGCAGTCACTTCCTTCATATAGCATCAATCAATAACATTTATTACTATATGCCAGGCACTGGGCTAAGTGCTGGGGATACAAAAGGCAAAAGACAACCCTAACTCCTATCACCCTGTATATATTGCCTCCTGTTATCATGCAAGGTTTTTGTTGTTATTTTTCTTTTTTCAAGAGTAAAAACTATATCTGGTGGAGAAGGAAATTTAAGAATAGTGGAACCCAAGAATGCCTCAGTCCTAAGCCACCCCATTTCCCTTGCCTAGCTGATGCGACTTCTACTGATCATTGGCCTGCCACTGCTCTTCCTCACCCCACCCGGTCTGACCCTCACTCCTCCCAGGACTTTTTTCCTCTCTGCTCCTCAGTCTTCTCCCTGTAAACCGTAACACAACAGGAAGGGCCTTTAACTAGCGCATAAAAGTGGGTTTGGAGTTTTCAAAGTCTAGGCTCCATATTTACAGTGTCCAAGAGATTTTTCCAGGCCACCCCTATTCATTCTCCCCCTCCCAAGTCTCCCCTCCCTCCCCTCTGCCAAGCCGTAGTGAGATAAATCTTTTTTTCTGGCCATAATCTATGGAGAGTGCAGATACCTGGAGGGTATGATCTAGAACAAGTGAAGAGGTCAAGGAGGAGCCTAGGAATGCCCCAGATCCTGAGAAGACACCAACACCAAAGGCAGTGCACCACTGGTAAACACCCCCCCCCAATTCCTATGACTACGAACTGTATGAAGACAGAAACTGTATCTTATTCATCTTTGTATTGTATCCTACAGTGCATAGAACAATGTTTTGCGTATAATGGATGTTGACTAAATATTTGCCACAAGAATATATGAATAAGGGACAGCTAGGTGGCGCAAATGGATAGAGCATGGACCCTGGAGTCAGGAGGATCTGAGTTCAGATCTGCCCTGAGATACCTAACACTAAGCTGTGTGACCCTGAACAAGTCACTTAACCCCCCCCAAAAAGAACATATGAATAAATGAGTGAATGAAGGCATTGAATGATGTTTTTAGGGAAAGGAACAGCAAACTATAAACTACTGGACAGTTGAGAGGGTTGGCCAAAAGTTACTTGGGATAGCTCTGGTCCAGTCATTCTTGGGAGGTGGCCAATGCCCAAGAAGGAATTTGGGGGAACTTATTAGTATCCGTCCTGAAGTATTTTAAAGACTTATTTTGTTTAATTCCAGAAAGGAGAACAAGAGCAATAGAGGGAGGAAACATTTGAATTAACAGGAAGGAAATGTGTAAAATTCCCAATTTCCTAAAGTTAGAATTATCCCAAAGCGGAATGAGCTACTTCAGGAGATCCTGAGTTCCTCCTTACTGGAGGTGGTAAGTAAATGCTGAATAAGCACTTTATTGGCACGTTGTAGAGGGCATTTCTTTTGAGATATGAGCTAGTCAGAGGTGTCAAAAACACTACCTGTTGACAGCAACCAGTATTTCAGCCTGCAACACTCTAGGGTACACCCTGAACCAAATTAAAATGTAATTGGAAAAAATTTAAGAAAATAAATAAAAATATAATAGAACATAATGTTAATATGTGGTTTTCTATGTCAGTATGCCTACAGAGGGCAGGGATCCTAATGGATGGTTTATTGGCCTCATTTCTATTTGAATTTGACACCAATGCGGTATGATCTCCAATCCCTTTCACCTTTTAGACAAGACAGCTAAGATAGACAAGGTACAGTGGAGAGAACACTGGAAGACCTGGGTTCAAATCCAGCCTCAGAGACCTAGCTGTGTGACCCTGGGCAAGTCATTTAACTTCTGTCTTCCTCAGTTTCCTCTGTAAAATGGGAATAATAATAGCACCAAACATCCCAGGGTTGTTGTTAGGATCAAAGCAGATAATAATTGTAAAGTGCTTTGCAAACCTTAAGACAGTAGTATTAAACCCAAATAGGAACCAGGGACCTCTAAACTGTACATAAAGATCGCTGAGGGACAAGTATTGACTCAGAAAACAACATATTAACATTATCTGTGTTCTATTGTATTTTTATTTTTGTTAGCTATTTCCCAATTACATTTTAATCTGGTTTGGACAGTCAGTGCTTAGGAGTGTTGTGGGGGGTGTTTGACATCTGTGCCTTAAACTTCTCTATAAATCTAGCTATTATTAGTATCATTCTTTGATCCTATGAAAGGAGATATCTGCTGGCTACATATCATTCCCGACCCACCCCAGCAGCACCTCTGAGGCTTGTTACTTTAATTTGAGGGAGGTAGGAAAAGGAGTGTCAAGACTTGGGGCCCCATTAAACCTCCTTTTCTGGGGAGTGGGGCTCATGAATATATGGAGCCTTGCTTCAGAAAACCCCCCCCCACACACACACACTCACACACACGGACTTCCCTTCCTCCTGCTTGGTAGCATAAGTTAGATGGGTAAAACACAACAGTGCAGGCTTAGAAAATTCTTCCATTTTTCTCTCAAAGCCCCTATTGATTTGCTCTTTCCTCTGATGGTTCTATTTCTAAGGCATCTCCTCCCTCCTTGTCCTTGGTTTTTCCTTCTGTGATATTTCCCTCCTATCCTTTTTCTCTCTTGCAAAGTATACCTCCTCTCCCTTCTTATATCTCTACATCTCCCTCTGCTTGTCATGAAAGTTCACAGAGGGTACTGGACTTGGAGCTAGGATGGACCTGAGTTCAAATCCTACTTTAGACACTCACTAACTGTGTGCTCTTGAGCAAGTCTCAGCTTCAATTTCTTCATCTTTAAAATGAATATTATAATAATAGCACCTGACAGGTTTGTTGTGAGGACCAAATAGATAATATATGTAAAATGACTTGCACATCTTAAAGCCCTATACAAATGTTGGCACCATTATTAATTTTCACTTTTCTTCTCTTTCCTCTTATCTTACTTATCTCTTTCCTCTCCTCACCTCCACTCCATTCCCCTTGTCTTTCCTTCCTTCTGCTTTCCTTTCCTTTTCTTCCCTTCTACTTTCCTTTTCTTTCCCCTTTTTATCTTAGAAAGGTGTTCTTAATCTTTTTTTGTTGACATGTACACCTTTGGTTGTCTGGGGTAACTCTTCACAGAATCATTTCTTCTTCTTCTTCTTCTTCTTCTTCTTCTTCTTCTTCTTCTTCTTCTTCTTCTTCTTCTTCTTCTTCAGGCAGTTGGG